CAGGAGATGTTGAGAGTAATGCCAGCAATATCACCATCAGGGGATCGTTAGTCATTGGTAGGAAAGGTTATGCCGTAGTGTTAGAGGACGTGAAAGATGAATGAATAGTGCCGGTCATACGAGAGGAATTTTATGTGAAGTATCCTCTTCATAGAAGACAGCTAACTAGAATACAGAAGGAATGGGAAGGGTGGAGTCGGAGAGTACTATTTGTTTGGCACCTTTGACCCAGGATACTATGACCGAGCTGAAGTGGTGAAGGAAGAAAGAAAGAAAGAAACAAGGAAAAACAGTAGATGAGATTATACACCGTTCAGGAATCTTCACACAATCACTGAGCCGATGTCAAAAAGCTAATGAATATCATTCTGCCGTCTGACTCAAGTGAAGTAGTATCTGAACTTGACTCTTCCTCTTCTTTGTTGAGATCACTGGCCTGGAAAGTTGGCTTCCTAAACTCTGGATAACCTGCGATATAAAAAGTCAAAACCTGTCTGGGACAAAATCAAGTGAATACACGTACCACGAGCACCAAATAACAACATCTGTACAGCTTGGGATTTTTGTGCACCTTTAAAACAACCTGAGCCAATACCCTCCTACAAAATGGATGATTCCGTAAAGGTTCGGTAGGAAAGTCATAATGGGCACCTGTGCTATATGGAAATGCAGCAGCAGTTGGCGTTGGAAGATCTGTCTCGGAAGATGGGGCCGAGAGGACATTTCGAAATTTGGGCGCTAGATGGGGCCGAGAGAGCGTTTCAGGGCTCGTATCCTAACTCTGTGGCGAATCAGATGTTTTCAAGTTTTTTCAAGTTGAGAAAAGGAGAGAAAAGAAAGGAAAAGGGAAGAAATTATTTACCTTTTGTTGCATATATTTCCAAGTTTTCTCAGCTCAATTTGACATATTCATGCATATACACTGTTTTTCGTTTCAGAACACGAAGGAAAGGGCTCAAAAATAAATCGCGTTAACATCAGTCACCTGGAAAAGTTTACGCATGCGTATTGTTCATATATATGCTGAAAGCTTAGAGTGCAAATCGAGTATCATTGCGAAAACAGACGACTTCTCTCAGGCAGACGGGCTGTTTTCATCCTGAATGTGAAAACATCATTGTTCTCGGAGTCAAGAAGGCACGGGGGCGTGAGATCATCGTTGGATACTGGGATCGTACTTGGAGACATGGCAGGTTGTTGATGAGGAAACCAGTAATTCACCACGGAGGGTGCGCGCAGCCTGAGTGAGGGCGAATACGCCATCACCTATGTCTTCTGCATGCAAGACAAGAATTTCCCCTTCAACAAGATCAACATTATATGGGGCTTTATTCATCTGGTGCAGACAGATTGAATTAGCGAGTAGAAATCTACAACAAAAAACTGAACGTACGTCCAAATTTCGTCCTTTATCACCAACGGTTTCTTACACGAGACAGCCAATCATCGTTGTTAATCGAAATCTGTGTTTGAAGCTGGGCCAGGTGAAGGATACCAGGAGATCGATTTAGATCGAGACGGGAACCTGTCCACTGAGATAAGGTTAGAACGAGAACAATGCATAATGAAAGAAGAGGCAGGCCGAGTCCGCCGAGATGCCGATACAACACCTTTGCCTAGGACCAAGCTGTCCATTTTGTGCCCGAGCTGTGGCCTAGGAGGGTCCAGTAGGAAGCAAGAAGAAAGAAAGAAATTCGACCCAAGCATTACAAGTAATATGTTCCGCCGGCGGGAAAAAAATGGGCCCACTGCTACAGTATAGTATACCATTCAGAAATCTTAATCGAACCGGAGCCGCTTGCTTGATGTAGTGACTTGACCCAGTGCATAGAAGGGAAGCATGATAAACACTTCACCAAGGATACCGGGAAATCCAGCTGATCAAGGTAGGTCAAAGCTGTACATATGGACCCGATTTGGCCCGATATGTTGCGGCGCTACGGACTCCAAGAACCCCGAGATGTAACTCTAGTTTTTACTTTACGGGGAAGGCCTTGTTTATGCAAAAGCTCCCATTGACGACGTAGACAGATCACTGCGTTGCTTGCTCCTAAGATCTTAAGACACAAGTATAACGGTATCAGGATATGACGTGGCCCAGGTAATATCGATGAGGATGACCCGATGCTAGCGCTACATCCGTAAGCGTTTCATAGATCTTGAGCATACTAAGTCTGGGGAGTCAGATCTGAACGAAGCTGTAAACATGACAATCTTGACTTCTGGAATGTAGGTGGCGTTTATTTGTTCACCGCGGGATAGTCAGGGGTAGACTTAGTGTCCAAGCTGAGGAAGCAAAACTAGAACTAAGCATCACTTGGTGTAAGTATCTTGTACTGGTGTACGATGTTGTATATCTATAAATCTACCTCTGGAAGGTTCAACTGAGATTGTACTCGCAGAACAGCGCAGAGGTATGATGTCAGCTTAACACGGATCTGCCGAGGATCATTCTGTCGGTGCTGTTGAAAGAAAAGGAAAATGCAAAGGTAAACAATCAAGGAATGGAATGAAGACTCCGCCCTGACCAAAAAAGCCTATCAATGCGCACCATTTCGGTGGTGCGTTCTCTACAGGTATAATGTTCCACCACAAATCTTTGAAAGATCTTACCGACGACCTCCGAAGTGCACGCGTCGGGTGGACGTTGCACCTTGTACAAGCAGCAGAAGTCTGGATGAATAAGTATCAAAATTTCCATGGTAAGCCGAGGGAACCAATGGAGCCATGACGGAATATTATACCTTACCAGTCGGAACAAACAGAGGACCTATAAAAGAGTTTGTACGCCCATCGTATCCAACTAACCAAGCATGGCTCCGTTCACAGCTCAATCTATCGACACCACCTGCGCTGCCTCGTATTTCAGCTCACTTCCTGTCAAAAGTTGTCAGCTCGATGCGCAGTCGACTATAGACGAAGCCTTGCGGACTACCATCCAAAGCTGCACAGTTCCCAACACGAGGGAAAGAAAAAAAGCAGAGTATCGTCATAACAACCCTGCAGGAAATATTTTTGGATTATGTCTTTCAATGTCGGAAAAGAAACGATTGAAATATGCCGTCCAGTTCATCGAGTTCCTGTGTATCGTAGATGGTAAATATCTCGTTGTTGGCCATCCATAGAGCTTTCAGTTGACCTACTTACTCTGCGCTAGATATGATGGAAGATCTCCCATTCGGAGAAGCGTGTATTGAACATGCCATCTTGCGCCAGGCTCTATACAAAAAATACGACGAGAACGAGTATGCCGGCCAAGTTGTCGGTGGGATGAAGATGTTCCTGCGAAATATCCGCTTGGAACTCGCAGACCAAAACGTCCCCGAGAGCCAGGTGCTACTTGCTGCTTTGGACTCCTCTCTTCACCACAGAGATAGTGTCGAGGGGGAGTTTGAAACTCTCGATAGCTATATTCCGTATAGGAAGACCAATTTCGACTATAAGTAAGCCGATCTTCATATCTTTGAGTTGATGCAGGACTTAACCAACACATGATATAGTTTCGTGTGTAGCCTGATTCGTTGGGCCATGAAAATCCCATTGCAATTGGGCGAAAAAGAAGAACTGCTGGCCCGAGAATACGAGCACGTAGTTGGAATTATCGCGAGCTTGACGAACGATTATTTTTCCTGGCAGATGGAGCGCGAACAATGCACAGATAGAATTCGAAACGCGGTTCCAGTCTTGATGAAAGAGTACAACCTGCCAGATGAACAAGCTCGGACATTATTGAAGGGAATAATTGTTAATGAAGAGGAAAAAATAAGGAGGCTCAATGTCGAAATAGACACAGGGAAGGACATTTCGGAGAATCTCAAAAACTATACAAGTGCGTTGGGACTATTTGCGGCAGGATATAGCTTTTGGTGCGCGACTTGTCCCAGATACAGTCGTCCCCAGACGGAGGAGGATTTTGCTACAAACTAACAGAGTAATGGCGGCGCTTTTGTTATGATCGGACAGTCACGAGTTTTTCCTTTATCTTGTACCTTCAGCTAGAGTAAACACCCCTAGATCTTAGTCTTCTTTGCAACCCTTGAACACTTTAGTCTCCTCTAAGCAGACAGAACACTGACGATCAATAAAATTGATTTGTGTAACTGAACACCTCTGAACACTTGAACATCTCGTATGACCGTTTCAGATTGGATGAATCAATATGGTCCAAGCGCGGGGCGTGAGAAGTAGCTATATCCAGCTGGGGTGCTGGGATTGTGCTGGGATCGCATGGCTGGAAACGTCCTATGGATTGGATGAGACACTGATGGAACGGAAGTTGAAAGTAGCCTTGATATATTTAGCGACCGGGTATCGTACGATACAAGATGATGGAGGCAAGAGAGAGAAAAAGAAAGTTAAAGTAACGATGGCGTGACTTTAAATACTGACGTAGGTAACGTGATAGTCATGAGGTCGTCGCGTATACGCGTTAGAGCGTTTACCATGGCGGGTTGTTGACGAGAAACCGGTAATTCACCACCAAGGCCCAGGGTGGTGGGAAGATATCTTCTGTATGCAAGACAAGAATTTCCCACTCAATATCATCAGCATTATATGGGCTTTTACTCGTCTGGTGCAGATAGAGACTGAAAGTAGCGAGTAGAAATCTGCACCAAAAACTGAACGCACATCCAAGGTTCCTCCTTCATCACTTACACGGGACACATTGTCAATCAGCTGTGTTTGAAGTTGGGCCAGGCGAATGATACCGGGAGATATCACAATAGCAGTGTAGAGATCAAGACAGGAATCGTAGGTGTTGTCTACTGAGACAAGGTTAGGATGAGAATGATGTATCATCATGCATGGGCATTGGGCAGGCCAAGATGCCAAGATTTTGGGTTGCCAGAACCCAGAACCCAACATTCTGTGCCCAAGTTGAGGCGTGGGATCCTAGGAGTCCAGTGGAGGCGACTCGGAGAAGAGAGAAAGAAAGAAATGGCGACTCAACAAGTACATTATGGAAAATACAAAACTATTCCCATTGTTATACATTGTTATACGCCGTTCGGGAATCGAACCCCAGCCGCTTGCTGTCTAATAATACCACCAATTTCGAGGACAAGCATGATAACCACTTCACCAACGGTGTCTTCCAAAATAAATAGCAGCTATATCCGTACAAGGACAATGAATGTGAACAATGATACAAGAAGGGATGTAATTCTCTTTGTAAAAGACAACTAGCTAAGGCAAGGAGTGGAAAAGGTGGAGAGTCCTAGTCTTTTGGCTCCTTTTGCCCATGATACTGTGACTGAGCTGAAGCTGTGTCCACTGCCACTGGTCAGTGGTGTGAAGGAAGAAAGAGAAAAAAATAAATTATGATCAGGTACCAAAACAACTGCTTATGCCGACGAATTTTATACACCGTTCGGGAATCGAACCCGAGCCGCTTGCTTCTCAAGCTCAGAGAGTGACGATGGAAGGCAAGCATGATAACCACTTCACCAACGGTGTCTTTAAAAATAAGCATCATATGACAGTACAATATTCGTTACACAACTTACATCCACAAAGTCCTTTCACCACTTTAACGAACAGATTAATGAACACATGCTCGTCAACGCGTAGTAACCGCCAATTCCCATCGGTCCCCAGAGTCAGAGATTTATGCGTATCATCTAGTCGTAGCATCAAGGAACAGTATCATGAGCAAGCTGAGCTTGCGGCTTCGTCTCGATGACTGTATCGCCAGCAGTACGTGTTCCAGCGAAGAACCCAAACCCGCGACATTTGCGAAAACACGGCAGCCAGGAGGGGCCAAAGTCCGAGTCCCACACGTTGCTACGGATTATAGCCTAGCGAAAAAGGATTTACACTTACATCTCTAGCATGATGGTGCTTCTCACAAATGACGATGAACAAAAAGCGGGCGGCTTGTAACATGTAAGGAGTCTTTTCGTTGCCCCCGTGCTGAATTTTTAGAACGTCTTTTTGGATCTGCGGGAGTTCTTTGTTCGAAACGGTGGTATCATATTGGCCTTGTGTAAAGGTATGTGTAAAGGTAAGCGAAAGTCAGAATACGTTCAGAGATTGTGAATTGGGGACCTCTGAAACACCGTCCAGACAAAGATACATCTTGGCCTCATAGACTTGCAAGCGTTCCACCATCATATCGCCGAGCCCCCTCCAGTATATGCAAATGAAAGCTTACAATTGGAAGAAAACTTCACGTACTGCCTGTTCCAACCTTAGACTCGCAGGATACTGAACGAAACTGTTAAACCTGGATCTCTGTGTCACATCAATGCCAACCATCATCGCATAGTCGTCTTCTTGCGAAGCCATCTCTTTGTGTTGTCGTCGAGCTGGACAAGAAAGAGTCAACGTCATCGACAGAGATATAGTATCGATCTTTTACCCTGTGAGTTATTCCTCCCAGCTTGCTCCAGGTATTAACGCGCTACATTCGATCTTGCGTGTTTGGCTCCTTATCCACGATTTTCGAGGTAAGAGTTTGGATGCCTGATTCGACGTCGCCGATGTGCTAAACACCTCCAGATACTTCGTCAGGAATGGGGAAAGAATGACTGCTTGAAACATTCACGCTTATTTTGATTCCAGGATAGATGAAGCTACTTATCGCGTTGAGAAAGAAGCACAAGAACAGAAACATAATATCCCTAGGATGTTTCTGCAGCGCACCACGTATCTTATTCAGAAACCGAATTCGGCGCTAACAGGAATGGTATAGGATTGAGAGTTACGGTCAGCAGATCTAGAGAAGGACGACTGCGCAAGACAGACATTCCGCTCTTCCGCATCTTCTAGACTTCTTCGCAAAACCCTTCCACGTCGACGAGCCCAGACAATCGAAGGGGTCATCCACCAGAAAAAACTTGTACAGCATCCCGCACCACTAATTCCAACTATCTTTGATTCATTACGCGTGGATTGACCTTGAAGGTTGAAGGTTGCAGGTTTGAACATTGACATCTAGTGCATTGTCGTTGTGAGTAGCACAATGACGTGTACAGTGACAAGCAATCTCAACACCACAACAACACTTCGCATTCTTACGCCCATCATCGTTCCTGTCCTGGTCAGACGGTCTCCCTTTTCCGTTCATTTCCGTCACCGATGAGTAGAGATCCCTTGAGATGGAGGAAGTCGAAGAAAACACCTAGATGAGCGAGTTTTTAAGCCCGGGTTCAGACGTACAGAGGTTGGATAAGGAAGAGAGAAGAAGCACGATGTGTTCTGGGAACGTGTGTATTGACATCTACCGCGAATGCACTGTCGTTGGTAACTCGATAACAGTGCCCGGTGATGAAGAAGCCAGGAAATATCTAGATGGGGCGCGCAGATTTCAGTGGCCAGGAGATGTTAGAGAGATGCCAGCCATGTCAGGGCATCGTTAGTTATGGTGTTTGGAGAAAAGGATGTGCCGTAGTGTTGAAGGACGTGAAAGATGAATTTATACGTGAACAAGTATCTGTATTCTCTTCGTGAAAGACAGCTGGCTAGGCTACGAGAGGAATGGGAAGGTCGTTTGGTACCTTTTTCCGGGATACTATGACTGAGCTGAGGTGTGTCCAGTGGTGTGATGGAAGAAAAGTGTTTACGTTACAAAAGAAGTACAATGGATTCTTGCAATTCGGCATACACCGTTCGGGAATCGAACCCGAGCCGCTTGCTTGAGCCAAATTGATAGCTTCGAGGACATGGAAGGCAAGCATGATAACCACTTCACCAACGGTGTCTTCAAAATGTGCATAAATAGCAAATATATCATCAGTACACTGTTCGTTACACAACTACGCAACTTTCACGACGAAGTCCTTTCCCACCTGGACGAACAGATGCTCGTCAATGCCCAGGTTACCCTCCATCTGTGGCAATCGCCATATCCCATCGGTCCCCACCGTCGGAAATCTACCTGCATCGAAATTCGTGCCTTTGAGGAACAGCGTAAGGAGCACGCTGAGCTTCATCTCGATGACTGTTTCACCATTAGCCTTTGCCTGTTCTGATGAGGAACCCGGACCAGCGACATTACGAAAGTAGGGCAGCCAGGTGGAGTTGTCGTTAGGCAAAGGTGAAAGTGCATGGATCGACTCGAGCCAAGTGGTAGCCGGCATGCCATCCTCGTCATCATCATCGTCCGAGTTCCACACGTTATTATGGATCACGGATCGAGCCTGCAAATTGGCTTCCCACTTCGAAGGTGTGTACGAAGGAATGTGGGGATGAAGAGTGTGCTGTTTGTGGTTGTAGACGCCGCTGAAAACCTCCTTGTCTCTCATCCGGCAAGTGAATAGCGTCGCGTCGGCGTTGTTTATCTCTGCAAAACGGTCAGTGAAATGAAAACTCGTCGACATCGTGAAGGACGCACCTTCTGGTGTCATCTGTGGCGCTGGCCCAAGTATCTTGTCTTCAAACTTCACCGATGAGAGTACAGGCTTTATAGATGATAGTGGTACGAAGGCAAGGCACTGTACATACCAAAAGGTCTGTGTACGCAACCGCCTCACCGAGTCATCAATTGACGTAAAATGAACATTGAACACGGACGTCGGCCATACTATATCGGGCGCTTACTGTCTCTTTTCTCTCCATGCTGGCCCGCCACTGCGCTCATAGAAGTAACAGTATTTTGGCCCGATCAATCAAGCTTTCAAGATAAAACACGATTGAACAGCGCAAACGCAAAGCTTATACTTGCCATACCTACGAGTCGGGCCTCTTCGCTGTAGAGTTTCTCTCTTGAACGTTTGAACGTCATTGCCAAATACGTTCGCGTGCTACTCACTAAATCAAAAAAGCTGTCCGAGACACGTTGGATTTGCCTAACCCAGTTAGCCCGGTAAACCACCACGACGGATGATACTAAAGCTGCCAGCCTTCTATGCACAGGACGCGCAACTTGCAGTTACCAACGCGGACATCCTATAAGTAAGTATTCATCTAAAAACATAGCCCATGATTAAAATCAACTGATAGACGATGCGTTTTGATTTCCTCAGTCTTCACGAAATAGTTTCCCTTCTTGAATGTAATGTCATGTCAACGTCGGGTTTTCGCATCGTGAACCAATCTATCCAACGCTGTTACCATATCCGGGAAGACCATCGGTCAATGCTAAACTTGTTCTAAACCGTAAACTTCAGTGACATGCGCTGCTCAGGCTGGCCCTCTCACACCCGGCCCAGCCGCCGCCTAGGGAGTATAAAAGCAGGTAGGATTTTCTTCACTTTTCTTCACCAAGTGCAGGTTCACTCAGTCAAATCACACAGCTTCTCTCATAACTACTCTGCGAGTATAACTCCTTTTTCTTACGGTCTTTCTCAATCTATCACCCAACGACTATCACTATCCTAGCACTCTCAATCATGCGTTTCTCAACCCTCATCGCTGCCACCGCCATTGTCTTCACTGCTTGCTCGAGCGCAGCGTACATTCCTGCAAGAGAAGCACGATCACTCGATAATGGTAAGTAACACCTTCCTATCTATCATCTATTCCAACATAAGAATCTAACGATGATCTCCAAACAGGGTGTGGCGAGAACGCCGTGGATGTACACATTGACATCCCCGGAGGCCACTCTGACAATCCCATTCACACTTTGTCTCGCCGAGCGTGAGTTTGTCATTCTTTTTCCTTGAACTCGTTTACTTACAACTTGATCCCTTATCGATTTACCCAGACAATCTGTCGTATGCGGGACGTCGTACCCTCAATGCATCGGGCACTACAAGTGCAGTAAAAACGGCAAAATAAGCGAGCTGAAAGACGCGAACCCCCCGCCGGAGTGTGCTGGGAGATGTTGGTGTGCGGAGCCTCCGGCACCCAAAAAGTCGAAGCCTATTGTGAAGGGAGGGCAGGATCCGTCGTATGCTCACGGGGTTTAATGGATGGTAGAGGAAGTGGGTTAGAAAAAATGTATAGTAGAGTCGTTTTTGAGAGCTGTGTTGCTGTGTACGTAGGAATACATGGCTTAAAGCATCTACTTTGCTGCATCTTTTGAGGTTTCCATTTTGAATTTTCGGCCATCTGGCTTCAAGAAGACTCAGCTCGATAAAAACGAGAGACGAGCCTATGCGTAGGTCCTAGATCGGAGGAACTTGCTAAGGCTGAAAATAGTCTGACCCCAAAACACAGATACTTTTTATAAATTATCAAGTCTGAATATAATACATGTAAGTTATTGGGTCCCTGTTAGTACATCCCAGCGCACACACGAAGTTCTGAATATCTAGTTCACATTAGTATCTGTAAGTACTTGACTCGATCAATGCAAATTATTTCCTGGACAAGTTACTTACTGTTTTCCCAGAGGTAGTGAGCGAGAACTGGCACCTTTGTGCTAGTAAGTACACCCACGACTCGGACGCGCTCCCTTGTTCCATATATGCGCACTTTCTCTCCTGGAATCATTCATACAAACTGTTTGACGGGCCTTGCCTTACTTAGCTAGCCCGGATGGCTACAATAGGCGACTAATGGCTGCCATC